AGAGAGAATGAGACCAACCCTAACGCTGTCAATGGTCCATTACAACAAAAGCCCATTTCACTGAATGTGGTGAGGATCGAGACGGTTTGCATCGGTACGCAGAAAAATACATTTTGAGGGTTTCATTTCATATTCCACGGAGGGAAATTTGTCACAAACTGTAACGCTGTAGATGGGCAGCAGCTTTAGTCCGGCTCTGTTTCTCCGTGGTCTTGGAAACAACAAGAACAAGACCCAGTCACCTTGCTCTCCCTCTTTCCGGCTGGTTTTCATTGGTCGCTCCTGCTCACACTTGTACAGTCGCATTAACAGCCTCCCCTGCTGTTCATCAGTAGCCGGGCTGTAATTACAGACGGATCCAGAGGAGATAAAAGGAGGAAGCTCGACAGAAGTCTGGCCTTTTAGCCCTGCGTGTGTGTGTGTGTGCGTGTGTGCGTGTGTGTGTGTGTGTGTGTGTGTGTGTGTGTGTGTGCGGCTACACTTGTGCAGTGTGCGTAGGTGTGCATCACATGTGCGATAGAGATCAAGTAGAGACAAAACAAGTGAAAAGAACTAAAGCTCAGTTGTCCGTTGAGCTGCTGCGCTCTGTCTCTCTCTCTTTCTCTCCATCCCTCAGTCTCTCTCTTTCTCACTCTCATCTCTTCTTCCCCCTTCTGCATACATCTTCCCGTCTACTGCTCGTCTCTGTCTCTCTGTAATTGCCGCTGCATTTGCTCTCAGAATTGGGTCTAACATCAGAGGGATCGCTCTGATTTTGTCACTGATCAAAAGCAAGAAAAAAATAACAGAAAGAATCGTGTAGGTGAAACAAAACGAACGTCGACGTAGAAAGAAAGAAAGGAGGACATTTGCCTGATCTCAACAAACACGCACTGAGACCTCGGTTCTTAAACACAAAAGTTAAGAGAGTTAATTTGATTTGTGTCTTAAAGCCAGAAAGAAAGGGACAAAAACACAGTCAAAAAAAAAAAAAAAAGCCTAATTAGCTTATTTTTCAAGCGTCTCTCTCTTTGGAGATTTTAATTATGATTTGGCATCAGCTGGCGTTTATTGGATGAAATGGACGTTGCTGATCAAGGCTCCGTTGGAAAGTCGAAAGAGATTGAGGGAAATGCAAGCAAACCAGAAAGGGAGAGAGAGAGAGAGAGAGAGAGAGAGAGAGAGAGAGAGAGAGAGAGAGAGAGAGATATTGCAGAGTTGATCAAACACATTTTCATTCACACCATGCACGCTGACATGCTGACAAGCCACGCGCACCAAGACCCACGTTGGAATCAGGGCCCTTTTGCTTGCTGCAGAATTTGTACTTAAAAAGACAAAATAAAATACAAAAAACGTCCTTATTTTCAGTTGATGTAACTACAGTAGTCTGGCTTATGAAAGCTTTTCTGTTTGTATGTCCAAACACTGAATGTCGGCTCTTTGTCTCTTCCCGGAAGAATCATTTCATGCACAGGGAGTGATGTGTTCTCTGTTTGTGGTTTGTTGGAAATAATTTTGAAACAAATAAATAGTTCTGTGTAGCCAGCATTAAGGCCTTTATATACGGGGGGAGGGGGCGGAGGAGTTTCATGCGATTGATTCACACATCGATACGCTGATAGCTGTTGTTACACAGAACTTGAATATTATGTGGCGAAAAAGCAATGTCATCTTTATGGGTGGAATTTTGATTTTTTTTTAGATAGTGGTTATGATGAGGCAGATACAGATATATAAATGTCGATCATTTTTTTCCCCATTTTGCTTTCCATATTCTCATGACTCATATATCGTAACCTAAGGAGGAAGTAAACTCCATGCAACTCAATAAATCAGGCAATTTAATAACCTTCAGCTGAATCCGTCTCCTGCTTTTCAACAACCAAAGGCACAGGTCTTTATCTAGACATTCAATACAACACTGATTTGTATTGATAAAGATTCCAGCTGGACAAGCACAACAGGGCAGATGGGGATGACTCTGAGGTTTTTGAGGAAATGAACAGTCACACATTTAGCCACGTTCGACCATGGGAGTTACACTGCGTTCCATTTGAACGTGTTCCCAGTTAGAAATTTTGAACTGGAACGCCGCCTGAAGTCAGATTCCCCACTCAGAAGGTTGGCCGAACCCCACCAACACCAACCTCAAAATCCAAGATGGCATCTCTTTTCATCAACAGAAAAACAGCTGTAGTCTATCTGTGGTGTTTGTAAACTCTAAATACCGTCGTAATGCGTTGTTATCAACTGGTAATGCTAACATAGGATAACCCGGCTGGAGCAAAACCCCTTAAGTGTTCCGACTTGTTGGACTGGAACACAATCCACTCGGGTGTGAAGTCATTCCCAGCTCCGACTTCCGATTTATATGGCACATTTCATGCAGCATTAGCAGAAAGGATGTTTGCAAGCACACACACACACACACACACACACGCATGCAAGCACACATACAGTAATCTGAGCAGCAGAGTATCATATGTGTAACCACATCCTCTGCCTCAGTGTGGAGAGGAGGAACCCAACACCTCATCGCCCTATATGAAAACTCCCTAGTCATCACTAATATGGGCTGGAATATCAACATTTATTATGCACAAGGAGACCGCAAAGGTCATAGCAGGGCTCCAGGATGAAGAGCGCAATTCTTGCATATGGGCAGAAATCATGGCGCTTGAATGCATACCAGCAATGCATCCTCCGTCATGGTGCAAATGAACCTTTCTCTCTTCTCCCCGAGTCCCTTGTTGTGTTTAAAGGCTTACTACACTAGTACAATAAATTAAGGATAATGCCTGACAATGTAGCCAGAGATTGTATTTAAATTTAACCAATAATATATAATTTTGTACATTTCTGACAAACACCTTCCAAAACTCATAAATACAAACATAGTTTTTTTCTCACTTCCAGACACTCTTGTGTTCAGTTCTGTATGTCATGTTAATTAACTTGCATATACTTTAATTGGAACAATTGATCTCCTTTTTTTGTGACAAAGTCACATTCTTAATATTATTAATATAATTACAGTTGCAGACAAGCAACATTTTCCAAAATCTTGTGAATGCAATTTGGGATGGTCTGAGATCTAGACACATGACAAAAAGCCTTTTTTCACAACAATATTTTATCCTGTCAAAGTACAACAACCTCAGGTGTTACGAATGACATCAAGGATGGCTCTGTTCAATTCAAATTTCCCAGTAAGACCCGCCAGTGAGCTAACATGCACATTACCAGGACCCTGCAACTATAGGAGCTAAATGGAATTCAGCCCTCATTAATTGCATGATATGCTCCTGTGAATTTAATCCAAAAGGACAGACATGTCTGTGGCCAAAGGGATGACGTGAAATTAGTTTTTACTTGGATCAAAAATGTCGACTGTGCAGCAGCCGACTCTTGAATCGCAGATGACGGAGCTTCCTTGTTTGCAGTTTAGTAAAACGATACAAAACCAGTTATGTTATGATTTTTGGTCACAATGGGCCCAAGGAAATCCATAACTAGTGTACTTAATGAAGTAAAGTTAATAAAGTTGTTATGGCTAACGTGTTAGCCATAGGGTGCTGCTGCTAGCTAGAGGAACATCTTGTCAGGCCGGAGCAAAAAAAAAAAAAAAAAGCGCACCTGAAAGCAGAGCTCTAAAGGCCGGTTTATACCTCTGCGTTGAATCTACGCCCAGAAATGAAATGCAAACCGCAACTACTGTGATTGGTCCACTTGGTAGCATCGCATTTCCGGCTGCTCCAACGAACACGGACCAAACTCAACGGTTGTACACAGCATCTCCTTAGACGTCTTCTCCACGTTTGCAGTAATTTCGGTACACGTAACTGTTGTTTAACATTTATTATCTTGAATGTGATTCGCTCCGATTCAGCCACCATTATTTAAAGTAGACAAATAAACCCAACTGCAGAGTGACACAGACACACCAGAAAACATGCATAAATGCTCACAACTGAGAAGGCCACACTAACTGTCCTGTTTGGGTTCATCTGTAGTGTGTCTTTGTGTTACACCTTTATTTAAAGAAACTAATCTAATCAGCAATTCTATATATATTTGTGGTCAGTCTAGTCTGTTCAGTTCTATTCCATTTATGTCAAATTCCTGTTGTCCTATAGAGTTATGTTTAGTTCCAGTTAACCTCTTTTATGGGCCCAGAACTTTGTTACATATTTTGTCAACTGTTTGCTTCACTTGTGGGTCAATAAGCCCCTCTTTTTGAAAGTCCACCGACCAGCTCCGTCCCTTACAATGTCACCTTCTTTTAAAAAGTCAGTTTATTTGAGGGCACTCGAGATTGGCACAGCAATGTTGAGACAACTGACGAATGAGGCAAGGAAACGATTAGTGTCTGTTTAAAAATGACCTTCAAAATACAAAGTGGATTCAAACATCTGAAAAGAGTAAAGTTGATGTTTCGATGTGGAGATCAGCTATAAATTAGCTCCCGGTAGACCGTGGTCTTTGTCGAAGAAACACACACACACACACACACACACACACACACACACACACACACACACACACACACACACACACTCATAGATGCTCACAAACACAACCTCACGTTCTCACGTGCATGAACACAGGAGCATGCGCTGACATTAAAGATGCATAACAAAACAGATGCATGAACGATCACAAACACACTGTGAGCAGCATCGAGACGTGAAACCAGAGCAGTTCCGCTCTGCGTGCCTTTCACGGTGACAACAGCAATCAATCAAGCTCAATAGGAGCAGCCTTTCATCGGGGATATATCACAGATTTCTGATTCCGGTAAAACAACCTCCATCGTGTCACTTATGAGCCTCAAACACACTGCATGGAGCCTGCATCGAGCCCGATGCTGCCACCTATGCTCACCACGGAGCGGTGCGTTCGGCGACCCACCGTTACCCACGTCCGCAGCCAGGGGGCGCACTTATGTCACTAACCTCTCCGCCTCTCTCTCTCCCTCTCCCCCCCCCCCCCTCTCTCTCTCTACCAGGGGATGCCGGAGTCTAACCGCAGCTCTCCTCTCTCTCATTCATGCTGATCGCTGCTGTCCTGTGCGCACGGAACTGCAGAGCTGAGCTTCGAAACCGGTGCTGCTGCTGCTGCTGCTGCTGCTGCTGTCTGTCTGACAAACCCGCCGGGAATGGAAATGTCTTCTGCTGCAACTCTGACACCTTAAAAAGACAAAACATGCCAAGGAGGACGAACACGAAGGGAGGTTTGATCAGTAAGTAGAGGCAAACTTTTTTTGTTTTGTTGTGGTTGCTAATCGTCTCTCTAGTCATCTGGGAGCTTTTTTAATATTCTTTCCTTCATCCGAAATGTTGGTGACATTCCTCTCCTCCTGAGACCCTTCCCTCTCATTGCCCCCCGTTGTGCCCTCCGATGCCTCTCTCATGTCACTAACATGAGCACACACGGAGCAACTCTGCGCTGCGGGAGAAATCCGACTTTTTGTTGATTTTTTTTTTTTTGCGCTTGGAAACATCGCATGGCTTGTTTTGCGCACCCGGGGAGAAGCAGCCAGACGCATGAGGAGGTTGCGGATGAACACCAGCTCCGAAATGACCTAACGCCCCCCCCTTTTTCAGTATGTTCACTCGGAATTGTTCAAGTTGTGTGAAGGTGAAGGATTGCTGCACTTTGCTGGCAAATAACTGCGGATTTTGGATGCAAAAGTGACCGTATGAATAGGCTGCCTGTGTCCATGAGCTCCACGGGGGTGTTTGTATCATCTCCCGCGTGCTTGAGCTTTAATAGTTAGTCTATATCGTACATGTCACATCGCAGGAGTGTTATAGGAACGTTGTCGCAATGGTACAGTGATGCCAGCTTAGGGTTTAGGGTAGCTGCTGTGGTTTATTGCGATGATTCCTGACACATTTGATTAAACCCAGTATGAATGTCAACAACGTTCCAGCTGCGCTTGAGACTCAATTTGAACTTGAAAACACTCTTTGCGCTGGCTGTGCGCGTGCACGGGCACGTGCGCATATATCAGTGCATGTATGCGGCCTTGACCGTGTGTGTGTGCGTGTACAAGTTGGTACCTATATGCAGCTGTGTGCTTGTTTAGATGCAAAATGTAAATGTTTGAATGTGTCTATTGGTGCATGTAGTGTTTGACCTGTGTATGAGTGCATGTGCAGATGTGTGTGTGTGTGTGTGTGTGTGTGTGTGTGTGTGTGTGTGTGTGCGAGCGTGTGTGCCCCTCACCCACTCACACACACACACACACACACATCTTCGTCATTTTGGAGTCGCATCAACATGCTCTGACAGTTTTGTGTCACCTTGTGAATTTTTGACTTGAAATGCGTAGGTGAGGCAGACGGGCTGATTTCGAGAGACTACGGGCGCCAAGCCACCGGTTTGGCTGCCAAAACACATCGAGAAAAATCTCTTCAGGTTGTGTGTGCGTGTGTGTGTGTGAGAGAGAGAGAGATGAGAGAGCCTTCTTTTTGCATGTTCTGAATCTCCTCTCATCTCCTCTCTCCCTTCTTATCTCTCTCCTCTCTCTGAACTCGCGAGGATGTGTGTGTGTATGTGTGTGAGTGAGAGAGAGATGATGTGGGAGCTAGAGGAGATGTATGGAGGGGGGGGGGGGGGAGATGCCTCCCCCTCTCTCTTAAGCGCGTGTGTCATGATGTGCCTGTGCTGGGACGCGTTGATAAGGCTGAAACCCTGAACATCACCTCCACTTTGGGGCTGAGGCGTGACATCCGAAGTGACTGCATGCATGGTTAAAGTGACGCAATGACAACTGTGGAACATATTAGTTCCCGTTGCACCCGCTGACACGTGCTGTGTGTGTGTGTTTTTTAGTGTTTTTTTTATAGAGGTTCTAGCCCTGAAATGAGTCAGAATCAGAGTCCGACGACAGCGGTGCTGCGTGCGCGTTGAGCTGCCTGTAACCTAATTACCTAGTTTATTCTTGGAGTCTTTTATTATTAATTTGTTCTGAGAGGATTATCTTTTCTTCACGCTCTCTATGTTTTCACCTTTTCTGTGTTTTATGCACATTCTGTGTGCTCAGTAACCAGGGTTCAGTCATTTAAAGCAAGTTATAAGATGACTTCACTCATTGTGTGTTTCCGGTACTTACAGTGCCTGTAGATGCAGATGTTTTATGGCAATTTTATGTGATTTTCTGGGATGGACTGATGCATAAATGACTGCAGAGTCCTACTTTTCATAAGGGGGTATTTAGGTGAACGGCCTCATTCTGTGTTCATGGATGTGACTTTGTTGACTGTTGGCCCACAGTCTCTTCCCTCTGGAGCTTCCTCGGCATCGAGCTTCATGAGCCACTTTATAAGTGAGAATGGACTCTTTGGAGTCACCACCTCCCCTCGCTGGAAAGCCGCTGTGTTTAGACGAAAACACCAACCGCCACAGGGTTTGTGTGTGTGTGTGTGTGTGTGTGTGTGTGTGTGTGTGTGTCAGTGCCTTAGATCCTAGCGGAGCTGAGAGCTCTAGACGATCGGTGATGCACCCTGCGGTTCCGTCTCCGTCAAGCCGCTTCATACCTCAAGTGCCTGTGATGGATGAACCGAGGAGGAGAGTTGGCATTAGAAGGCCAATAAACCAGATTGAAAGCAGTTTAAACTGATTCCATTTGAGAAACACCTGACATGGGATGTAATGAAAATGGCATTTAGCCGAGGAGGAGGAGGAGTTTTTATTCATAGTGCGATGAGAGTTTACATTAAAATGCTGCATGGGCAGCCCCAGCGGGAGCTGAAGCACCGGCCCAGCAGTCTCAGAGCCGCGCTCTCGCCGATCGAGCGGCTGATGACTGTCGACTGCCACGTAAACTGATATTAAATGGCAAAATACCAGTTTGAATCCCACACACAACACCAGTTGTTTTAACTGCTTTTGGAAGGCAAGTTATCTGATTAGCTCAGACCGGCATGTAGATCAAATATCAGAGCGATGGACTGAAGATGGATATAACAGTAAGGTTTATTAGTGAGACATTCCTACATACTCGATTACAACCAAAAGGCATGCTCGGCTTTACTCTCCCTCTGCTGGCTATGTCAGTCATATCAATAACTTTATACAAAAAGTTATCGCCCCTGGGAGATAACCTCCCTCCCAGTATAGATACTGGGATAGTAGAACCTTTGTGATTGAGACGAACCATGACAGGAAGGAAAGAGGAAACTCACCAGTAGAGGCATATTAGTGTGACTGTCATTAATATGCTGTCATTTTTCTTTTGTCATATTGACTCCCACATTGGGGTCGTAACGGAATACCGAAGTATTAACATTGACAGCTATCATACATATACTGTTACAAAATATGGACGTGGTCTCTGTGACGTCAACCACAGGTTTCTGAAGTCTTGAGTTTGGCGATTTGGTTGTTGCCATCTTGGATTACAACCATCGCCATTTAGACTTTTTGCAACCAGTAAACGGATGTTACCATATTTGGACTGCGGTGTGACACAGAGACACCGTATACTCTGGTAGCTCTGGTTGCGGCAGAAACCTGTCAATCACAGTAAGCCCCACCCTAAAGCATACTCTGCTTTATGGTGTATTTGACTCTAAATGGATCTTAATTTACTAAATGAACATCATGCTGTATTGAAGACTTGAAACTAGAGATTGAGACCATGAACTCATGTTTACAATATTTACTGAGGTAATAAATCAAGAGAGAAGTAGAGTCATTTTCTCATAGACTTCTATACAATCAGACTTCTTTTGCAACCAGAGGAGTCGCCCCCTGCTGGTCAGCAGAGAGAATGCAAGTTTTCAGACACTTCCGCATCGGCTTCACTCGTCAGAACCAGAAGTTGCCGCCTGATTTGAACATGGAGGACTTTGGGGATCGACTCGCTTTTGGAGCCAGGCTCAACTGGCCGTTTAAGGAACTGCAGTTTTTGGCACTTCCGCGTTGGCTTCATTTCTCAGAGCTACGGTATTGAAAAGAAGAGACATGCGTGAGTGTGTGAGGTAAAGGTGCAGACAAAGGCAGTCACTCACCTACAGTATATGTTAATTGTTAATTGTAAATAAGCATGGGACAATCCTTGTCAATCCTTTAAGGAAAACTGTAAATTATAATACAAATATTAATAACAACAATAGCAATAATGACAGTAATAATAATAACAATAGATGGTTATTGTTCCGTTATAGCTCTCGCCAACATGAGTATTTGTGCTACTACAGCGGAGGAGCCATGTTTTTATTTTAATTTTTTCTCTCTTTTTCCCGATGAGGCAGGGACAAAGTGTTTACATCCCACAATTTCTGTCTGAGCAGAACACACAGAGGAAGAGGTTGAGCAAAAGAAGATGAGAGCAAAAGAGAGAGAGAGAGAGATGAAGTGATGGTGCTTTCAAGTTCCCGGCACCTTTTTGATGCAGCCTCCGCAGTGAAAGGCCAAGGCAGATCAAACAGGGCAGGCAGATCGAAACAGTTTCTCTGGTAAGAGGAAAAGACACTCCGACTCTGCACAGATGTGACAGGTAACCGCCACGCCGAGGTGGCTGCCACTTTCGCACGCCGCCTGATTGCAAACACCCACTTCCCAAGTTCAAAATAGGACTTGCGAGGAGCTCGTTTGATTGTCGTCGTCATCTGCGTTCGGCATTTCCGAGCGAGACCGACGACTTGTGGGGGAGCTATTTCCTACCCAAGTGTGAGCGAGGATAATTCTGCCGTTGTTTTTTCAGCAATTAAACGAATTTCAGCAACTGGCTTTCTGCTGCTGCAGACCATACAGCTTGTGCTTGTTGTCCCAAATGGCCAATTTCTGCCTTATGTTCTGTGCTGTCTGAACAGTTGAGGCAGCAAAATAATCAGTGTGTGTGTGTGTAGCCAAACAAACCCACATTACTGAAGTTGTCTGCAGTTTCCTGTGCTTGTGCAACATTAATCCGATCAGCACGTCCCCGTATTTCTCGGACACACACACTCGGACATCCTCCTTTACCCTCCTTCCCTCCTGGTATATATTTAGGTCTGGGTCAAGGTCACAGCTTCCGTCTTGTTTTTTCCGTATATGGCGATTGGATGCAGATTTGTCTTCTGGTATCTGTAGTGCTGGTGGTTCGACTTTTCCCCAGGCCATGGGGAGGAGGAGGAGGAGGAGGAGGAGGAGGAGGAGGGAAATGCAAAAGTTGGACAGAAGGAAGGATAAGGCGATAGGACCACTAGGCATCATACCCTGTATGTTTAATTTGAGGAACAATGCCAGCTG